GTTAGCTCCCAACTCATGACAAGCCCCACTGCACAATGGAACGGACGGCTGCCAGTGCTGAGCCAGCCTCGTTCCTGGGCTGCAGATTGGAAGGGCTCTGGGCCACAGGGCTTTCACGGGCCGCTTGCCCTCGGTAGATTGCCAGGTCTTTCCTCCTCCGTCTTCGTCTAGAGGTCCTGTTGAAACCTACTCAGCAGCATAGCCACACACGTGCCTCCGAAGACAAACGGGGTGGAGGCTGCGCATGCCCACACTGGTCGACCATCGACCCTGGGCTTTGGGTCTAGAGCTCACCATTCTACCTCCGAACCACCGCTGACGCCCTCCGACTCCCGGCCTTGTTGCCGTGTCGGCAGGTGCTGCAGTCGGTTCAGACTCAGTGACCTACACACAACAGACCGGACTGCTGCCCGTCCCGCCAGCCTCTGTGCCACTGGGTCAGTGCATCTCACTGAGGACCTTCCTCTGGTTCTCTGCCCTTCTGCTTTACCAAGCGTGATGTCCTTTTCCAGGGACATGTCTAAGAGGCCAGGTCACGGGGCATGGTTGAAAAGTTAAACTATGCAGGCTTGGGTTTTGTGTCTTCCTTTAACACACACCAAGCCCTGAACGATGAATCTGGGTCCCTAGGATTTAGGGTGCCTCCTCCTCCAGAGTCCCACATGGACATTGGGCAAAGCTTTTTCTTGGGACAATTGAGTTGTCCCTTCCAGGCATTTTGAGCCTAAGCCCTGAAGATCGCCTTGCTTTGTGATGGGTTTTCTGTTGCCCACGTTGCTTGCTGGTCCCTTCATTCTGGACAGAAGCACATGCGCCCTGCAGTCCTCTGCTGGGCTAACACTCGGCTTCCTCTTCTCACGCAGGCTGCCGGCAGGAAACTGGAAACTGGGCCACAGGAAGCCTGCCTCTGACAACTGTCCCACTTTGTAACTGAGGCTCCGGCTTCGCTTTGCCTCCTGCATCAGGTCTGCCGCCTTAACCCTCCACGTGCCGCCCACTCCGCTTCCTCAAAAGACACTGCCTTTCTTATTTCCTGGGGTCACCGAGATGGCTGTTTGTTTGTTTGTTTGAACTCCCCTATGTCATGAAGCCTACGAATTCCACAGAGATGAAAGCACTGAGCAGATTCTCCTACTAGGAGCCCCTTGCATCAGAACAGGGAACTAAAGGGGAAAAAAATGATTCCCTAGATTCACTAAAGCTGTGAGAATTCATAGCACTGATCACAGAAAAAGATATTTTATAAATATGCTTACTAGCCGTCCAAGGGCCACCTGATAGATTTCAAAACCTATCCCTTGCTCCCAACCCAGGCTTTGGTAAATAGCATGTGAATGAGCCTAAGTTCTAGTTGTACTTCATGAAAATGTCTTATCACAGTGTCTGCTAAAAATACCAAAACTAACAGTTTGAGCCACAAGAATTGCTGTTTTCCTAAGTCAAAACCAGCAAGTCCGTACAGTCAACTTACTACATGTAATACCATACGTGTGGTTGGTAGGTGTCGTTGACTCAGTGACCCTACTGCTCAGTCCCGCGCCTTCCTCATAAATCAGGGTTGTATCATACGTAGAACACGTACACATGCACATAGACCCTCTTAACCATATCCTTGGGGTAGTGTCTTCAGTCCATGCTCCTTTGAGAATCTCTAGTTAAAGATTCTTTTTGAGAATCTCTAGTTTATCCACTGCACTGGGTCACTCTGCACAAGACTTCTTCAGCGTGTTGAAAAGCAAGGATGTTATTTTGAAGGATGTGGTGCACCTGACCCAAGCCATATTATGTCCATTAGCCTCATATGCATGAATATGGAATAAGAAAGACCAAAGAAGAATTTGGTGCATTTGAATGATGGTGCTGACAAAGAATCTTGAAAGTACCACAGACTGCCAAAAGAACAAACGATTCTGTCTCAGGAGAAGAACAGTCAGAATGTTCCTTAGAGGCAAGGATGGCGGGACTTCATGTCACCTTCTTTGGATATGTTCTCAGGAGAGACCTGTCCCTGGAGAAGGACAGTGGAGGCGGGGCAGCGAAAAAGCAAAGAGGAAGCCTGTTGACAAGATGGATTGGCACAGTGGCTACAACAATGGGCCCGGGCATAACAATTGTAGGAAAGCAGGGGGCTGGAGAGCTGCTATCAAAAGGCCACAGACTCGACCAGGTTGGGAGAGGGCGCTCGACCCCAACACACACAAGGTCGCCATGAGTTGTCAGCGACTCCGTGCGCAGCTCCTGGTTTATGTAAATACTAGGTGTACACCCCTCACCCCCCAGACCCAGTCCTCTCATTGTCCTGAACACACACACACACACACACACACACAATGAAGCCAAGCAGGTGAAAGTCAGAGGAGATGTGAGCAACGAAGCCCCAGAAGAAAAGGAAAACCAAGCAAGACCAACTCAAGGTGATCCCTGGTGTTACTGGGTAGGAATCTCGGCAGAGAGTGTGAGGCTGCTAACCACAAAGTCGGCAGTTCAAAACCACCTGCCACTCCGTGGGAGAAAGAGGAGGCTTTCTACTCCTGTAGAAACAATCTCAGAAGCACACAGGGGAGAGTTCTGCCCTGTTCTATGGGGACACCATGAGTCAGAACTGACTGGATGGCACAGCGTTTAATCTGTGACATCCCACCCCACCTAGATGATCAAGCCTTTCTCTCATGGGTGACCTCCACACAGCGAGCACAGTCTGCCATCCACTGGGTAAGTGGTCACATGCACACTTTCTGTGCCACCTAAGGCCCTTTCTCTTGGCCCCATAAAGGGACCCAGAACATGCCCACCGTTTGTTTGCTTGACTGAAGTAATGGCAAAGAAACACGTCCATGTAGATGGGAACAGACTGGACACCAAGTCAACCAGCGTTGCACTCGGCACCCGGCATCCAGCACCCAGCACCTGGCAGGTGATCAAAACTCCTTTCAAAGGAACACCTCCAGGGAAGTTTCTTTCAGTCGCTAAGAAAGCAGTTTTTAGGATTTCCTGGAGGCACTGTATGCGTGTGCAGAAAATGGTGTTGGCACCCAGTAAAACTTACCTACTAAACCTGGCCCTGCTTGTGGGCAAGTGTTAAACTGCTAACCTAAAAGTCAGAAGTTCAAACCCTGGGACACCTGCATAGGAGGAAGACGAGGCTATCTGCTCCCGTGAAGACTGATAGGCTTGGAAACCATATCTAGGGTCGCAAGGAGCCAGAATCAGCTTGATGGCAGCAGGTGGTGATGCAGGGGGCTACGGCTTGACCGGCGAACTGCAAGACGAGAAAGATGCGGCTGTCTGCCTCCTGGAAGATTACAGTCCTCAGAAGTCCTAGGTAGTGTTTCAACTCGTCGGTGGGGTCACTATGAGTCAGGAAGGACTCGCCGGCAGTGGGGTGGGCTGGGTTTGGTTACACTCAGCTGGGTTTGGTTCAGTTCGGTAGTGCTAAGCACTTAGCTGCCGGCTGAAAGGTTGGCGATTCAAACTCATCAGCAGCTCTGTGGGAGAAAGGCTTGGGGATCCATTCCCATAAAAAAAAAAAAATCACAGCCTACAAACCCTTTGGGGCATTCTATTCTGACCCTCGGGACTGAGAGGCGTTGAAATCGACCCAACAGCACCACCAACGGCAGCACCCGTAACGCACATTCTAGCAAACGCACCTTAAATTTCAGCTTTAATTGAACCCAGAGGTTCTCGAACTTATTTGGCCTCCAATGCCCTGTTCAGGGGGGGAAAAATTATTCTTCAGTGACCCTTGGTAATTTAAATCTTTTTCCTACAGCCATAGTCCAGGATAACGTGCAGGTATCTGCTTTGGCAGCTCCCCTGGAACATCCCAGCATTCCTCAGGGGTGGAGTCCATGGCCCCACAAACCAAGTCCACGGCCATCCCCTTGCTTCTGGCTCACGTGACCGTGTAGAACAGAGCAGAACTGCTCCTGAGGGTGTCCGAGGATGTAATCTCTATGGGAGCAGACAGCCCTTCTGTCTGCCCTGGGAGCAAGTGCCCCCATTTCCGGTGGTCATTTGTCCCCCTACTTTTATCTCAGAGGCCTCGGTTGAGATGGCGATGTCTGACTACCCTTTTCACACGTTTAACATCAGTAGAAGTTGATCCTACGCACAAGAGGAGACACAGGAAGTCAGAATTGAGCTGTCAGCTGCTTGTCGCCACTGAGGCCGGAAAGGTCGTGTGCTCTCAGACAGAGGGCAGCGTCGTTTCCACCTCCTCAGCTACAAGACAGGGTACAGGTCAGCCTGGCCACCATCCTCCCAGGACTCTTAGCAAAAGCAAAAGGGTGGGTGTTTTTTTGTTTAATCCTTTTATCGGGAGCTCGTACAACTCATCACAATCAATACATACATCCATTCTGTCAAGAACATTTGTACATTTGTTGCCATCGTCATTCTCAAAACATGTGCTTTCTACCTGAGCCCTTGGTATCAGCTCATTTTCCCCTCCCTCCCCACCCCCCTTCCCCATGAACCCTTGATAATTTATAAATTATTATTTATCCATGTCTTACACTGTCCGACGTCTCCCTTACACTGTCCAACTTTTCTGTTGTCCGTCCCCCAGGGAGGAGGTTACATGTAGATCCTTGTAATTGGTTCCCCCTTTCCAACCCACCTTTCTTCCACCCTCCCGGTATCGCCATTCTCACCACTGGTCCTGAAGGTATCATCCGCCCCTGATTCCGTTTCCAGCTCCTATCGGTACCAGAGTACATCCTCTGGTCTAGCCGGATTTGTAAGGTAGAATTGGGATCATGATAGTGGGGGGAGGAAGTATTAAAGAACTACAGGAAAGTTGTATGTTTCATTGGGTGGGGTTATTTTTTTAAAGTAGTTTGAAAATAAAATCTTAAAGCTATCTGTGTGCATGATACACTGTGTGAGTAATCTTGAAAATGACAATGTTTAGGGACGTACATTTCAAACCAAGCTTTAACAGAAGTACTTGAAACCCAAACACCACACTCGCTGCCATCGCGTGGGGTTGGACTCACCCTTTAGTGAACAGCCAAGCGTTTTAACCACTGCACCACCAGGGCTTCTTTCTACATCTTCACAGGAACAAAGCCCAGACCCTCTGCCATCCAGTCCATCCCAATGCAGAGAGGCCTCACACGGGGTTTCGGAGCCTGTAAACCTCATGGGAGCAGACAGCTTCATCTTTCTCCCACAGAGCGGCTGATAGGTTTCAGGTACCAACCGGGCTGTGAGCAGCCAACAGCAACATCAGAGTGGTCCAAACAAGCTGAAGACTGACTTTGCTGAGACGGCTTGTGAGAATCACACTAAAGGAATCTCCACTACAATAAAAACCACCATCTTTCAGATGGATGCGCTCTGCGAAAATCCTAAATTGGCAAAAGCATGCGCCCAGGGTCCTAAGCACACGTTTGCATGATACAGGATGATGGTGGTTTTTCCACATCCAGAAACTGAAACATTTCCTGCCAGAGCATCCTCCAAGCGCTGCTATTGTGTGACCGAAACTGTAAAATCATTCTAAACTGTAAAACCGTTCTAAATCAGGACTTCCTCCTATTATGCTTCAGAGACATCTTTCTGGGAAGGGGAGATCCGAGCAGCAGGTAGGAATTCCCGCAGCACCACCCAGTGGAAACATCAGCAGAGAAAAAAAACAACCAACCAAAAACCCCCAGGCATGATCAAACACGTATGGTGAAAGAACACTGGCCCCTCTATGCTCTGCGTGAAGACGCCGGACCCGCTCCTGCCTCCGCAGAGGGCACTGAGGGACCTGCCTGTCGGTGCCCCCCGCACCCGCCACCCACACAGATGACCAGCAGCAGGTCTGCCTCGCTTCTCCCACATGCTTACCTTGACCCTGGGGGTCCACCTTCTCAGTAGGAGGAAAGAGAGCCCCTCGGGGCCAGAGAGGATGATGCCAGGCAGGGGCAGGTGTGGCTGCAACACCATCCCTTCCTCTCAGCAAGGCCCCCAGGGATATGCTGACGCCAGTCCCGGAGTTTCCGGGCAGTAAGGTGACCATCTGTTTGCCCTTCCACCTCTGACGTGTGTGCAGCAAGGCTGACTCCCGGAGAAGTCTGTGGGTGAAAAGCCAGTCTCTTGGGCTTCCAGAGGGACCTCCCGCCCGCTTCAGGGAACACTGACAGCCGAGTCCCAAGGTCCCCCCGGGCCCCGGGGAACCCACAGCGTCTATGCAGGCCACGTTTGTCTGTCTGTCCTGTTTGTGGCCATCACCGGAACGTGTCACTCTTGATCAATGACTACTCCTTAGAGATGCGCAGGTCGGGCTGCTAATGCTCCCGAGAAGTCGCCGGAGCGAGACAAACTCTAGCCTCCACCGCCCCTGGTTGCAGCTTCCCTTCCCAGAGACAGAGACAGGAAACGCACTCTTCACATCATGCACTGGGCTGCTAATGAGAAGATCAGAGGTTCAAACCCACCAGGGACAAAGAATGAGACTTTCTGCCTCTGTGAAGACCTACAGCCTTCGAAACCCACAGGGGGCAGGTCGACCCTGTCCTAGATGAGCGAAGATCAGCTCTATGGCAGTGAGCTTGGTTTTCTAGTTATAATAAAAAACTCACTGCCATCGAGTCCATGCCGACCCAGAGTGACCTTATAGGAGAGGGTAGAAGTGCCCCTGTGCGTCTCCAAGACTGTAACTCTTGACATCTTTCTCCCAAGGAGCAGCTGGTGGTTTCAAACTGTGAACCTTGAGGTTCACAGCCCAACTTGTAAACACTACAGCCTTCTGTTCTGGTTATAGAACTTAAAATTATAAGTACCATTTCTTTAATAAATTCTGGACAGTCCCGTCACTAAAAAGCCCACCCCCAACACCATCAATGTCCATTCTGCTGGAGCAAATCCACTGTAGCCAATGTTAACATCTGTCCTGGGTTGAATGATGCTCCCCGCCCTCCCCGCAGTGTGTGTGGTAAAACCTCACCTCTGTGCTTGTGGCTAGGCTTGGGAAGCTGTTGTCTTTGTTATGTCAAGGGGGGGAGGGGATTCCTGTAGAGAGTATATTGAGTCATTGGATTTTGACACATTAAACAGATCAGATAAAGATGCTGAACAGAGAAAGACGAGGTTATCTGCTCCTATAAAGATTTGCACTCTTGGAAACCCACAGGGCAGTTCTCCTCTGTCCTTGTGCCTTCTGAGAATCTGCTCCTGGGAAATCTCCATGCGGCATAGCCTCTCTCGTCCTGCATCTCTGTTCAGCATCTTTGTGGGTGACTGACTGGTGGGTGAGAGCCAAGGACCATGCAGTTAGGAGCTCACTGTGCCCCCACAGCTCCTTCTTCTGGCCATAGTTCTGTTTCATCATGTTCTCTCATCGCCAGCCTCTACACCTTGAGTGGCTATGCGCTGGGCTGCTAACCACAAGGTCAGCAGTTTGACACCACCCACCACTCTAAAGGGGCAAAAAAGATCCTTTCCATTTCCATAAAGAGCTACAGTCCTGGAAACCCACGGGGGCAGTGTTACCCTGTTCTATGGGGTCCCAGGAGTCAGCACGGACTCGACGGCAGTGAGTTTGGTTTGGTTTACACCTGTGGTTACAATCTCCTTTGGAAGTGAGTTATCTCTTATGCAGATGAGACACGATGAAAGTGGGGTCTATTTTGAGTACCTATCTTATTAGAGGGTGTGACACACATCATCGCCCTAAATTTGCTTGGGAGCATAGTCTGTAGATAGGCCACAGTTCAGAGCTCCAGGCGTGAGCAAGATGCCATCTTTGTGACCTCCCCTCCCCGACTGAGCATGCACAGAGGCGGCCTCGTTGATAAACACAGTGACCCTCCCACAAAGACTGCTGGCCCACGGTTGGGTGGCCCTCTCCTGACATGGGTCCCAGCATGCTTTTTTGCCTGGCCAAGCAAGAGAGACCAGCTTTCACTCTCAGACATTTCTGTACCTGCACTGAACAACTTGGGCAAGTTTGCTCCCTTGCTGAGGATCCTGCATCTGGCTTGCCTCTGCCTGACTCCCAGTGCTTGGGACTTGAGTTGTGGCCTATCGCCTAGCCTGATCTCTCATCAGCATCCATAGCCCTGTGCTGAAGAGGATCCTCCAGGCAGACAACTGAACTTCGGACTTGGGACTTTCCAGCACCCACAGCCACGTGAGCCTCCAGCACCCACAGCCACGTGAGCCATTTCCTTCACAGTTGGTGAGCTCTGTGAGTCGTTGCAGCCAACGGTGGAACCCGCCGGCACGTGAGGAACACACTGAGGGAGAAGCCGTGGCTGATAGCAGGGATGATGGGGTGGGGCCTGGTGGCACAAGTTGAAAGGTTCAAACCCTCCGGTGGCTCTGAGGAAGCCAGAGAGGAGGTGGTCTATTCCTACAAAGTCTCAGAAACCCACAAGGGCAGTTCTACTCCGTTCTAAAGGGTTGCTATAAATTGGAATCAATTTGATGGCTATGAGTTTGTTTTTTTTATGGTTTACAGCGTTTTGGAAAAGTCGGATATTTGGGATTACTTCAATTTCCACCTCATTAGAACTAGTCTTGTATTCATATTTCTAAAAACAATTATGTTACAAGAGCTAAAAACCTGAGTCATCTTATTTTTTTTTTCTTCCCCCCAAATGCAGAGGAGACAGGATTAAAGTGTGTGGCCCAGTGTGCTGTCCCGGACAATGCCCAGATTTTGTACGGTGGCAGCTAGTCCTTGGGTCCTATTGCATACAAGGTCCTTGCTAAACCAGTTCCGCGTTTCTGGTATTTGTCATGGAGAGTCCACAGCGACTGCTTTCTGGAGCCTCTCTCTGAGCAGCACAGAGAGCTGACCAAAGGCAGCTCTGCCTCAGTCAGGCGTGAGGCTCCTCCCGGCTTCCAGAATCTGTATCACTCTATCACCTGCCCGTTCGTCCGTGTGAGGCTCCTCCCGGCTTCCAGAATCTGTATCACTCTATCACCTGCCCGTTCGTCCGTGTTCTCCCCTGGAATTCTTCTCAGGACAACCTTTATGGTGTAGGGGATGCAAACTCCAGGCAGAAACACTGTCACAAAAATCTGGTATGATAATATATTCATCTATCCAGGCCTGAAGATTACCTTTCAGCCAAACAATAGACAGAGCCATACCGTGGACAGTGATACCTGTGAGGGGCGTGCCCGCCTGGAGGATCACCCAAAGCAGACTGAAGAGACAGCATTTACATTTAAAAAAAGGAAGAAGAAGAAAGAAAACCCCACCAAAAGGCAGAAGCGGGGTGAGTGGTGCCCAGGAGCCCTCGCAGGAAGTGGGCAGAGCACTTTGAGACCAAGGAGATTACAACTGGTACAAAACAAAATGTGTACAAATTGTAGAATGGGAAATGAATTTTTCTTTGTAAACCTTCACCCAAGCCACTATGAACTATTCAAAATATTTAAATATATATGTTCACTTTGGGACGATCTGTAAAAAAAAATAGTGAATTTGCAGTCTTCAAAATATCATCACCTGCTCATGTGGTGGCCATCTGTGCGGGACTGAGCTGCTGCATCTGCAGTCACGGAGGTAGGAAAAACACCTTTTAGAGCCTCACTCGCCCCACCTGCAAATGCCCCCCCTCACGTTGTCGAACATGGGCGTCAAGGAACGGGAGAGCCTGGTGGCATCCTCGTTACCAAGGCACAGGATCCTCTCGATTTAATTAACTGTTGATATTTAAAGATATTTGTGAACAATGAAGTGAAAACTGAACCCTGCTACGGTTATCTCCACTTTGTACTGAACTTTTTTTAAAATCAAGTCTGACTTGTAGATAAACTATGTAAGTGAAATACACTTCAACTGTCTTGGAGCACCTGGTGGATACAGTCGTTTCTAAGAAAACTATTGGGGAAAACAGTGCGTGCTTTAAAAACTAATCTGCTGTGATAGGTAGGTTTATTGTGCCAACCTGGCCAATAAACATACGTGGGATTAATAAGGTCACAGTTTAATTGAAGGGCAAAGAGATAAATGGCTTGACGAGCTTCGCCTGTCTGTCTCTTGCTCTCAGATGATCAGACCAGTAGGTGGCT